ACTTTATAACGACAAAAACTGAACTATGGAATCTGAATTGGTGTAGTTTTAGCTCTCAAAACAGTTTAGAACGAGGACAAATTATCACAAGCATGTACTTTTGCTTTGTCACTTCTTTAGTCCAGTTTATTCAGACAATGAGAGGAGGACCCGAGCTCGATCAATGATAATGACTCCCAGGGCTCTTACAGGTACAGGTTTGCAAAATATTTTATGTTCTGTAGGTAAAGTCCTGGATCTACAGCCTCAGTCCTGGAGCTACAGCCTCAGTCCTGGAGCTACAGCCTCAGTCCTGGATCTACAGCCTGAGTCCTGGATCTACAGCCTCAGTCCTGGATCTACAGCCTGATTCCTGGATCTACAGCCTCAGTCCTGGATCTCCTGGATCTACAGCCTCAGTCCTGGATCTACAGCCTCAGTCCTGGTTCTACAGCCTCAGTCCTGGATCTACAGCCTCAGTCCTGGATCTACAGCCTCAGTCCTGGATCTACAGCCTCAGTCCTGGATCTACAGTACAGCCTCAGTCGAGAGTCCTGGATCTACAGCCTCAGTCCCAGGGTAATATGGCCTGGCTGTCCCTTGGAGTGGATCTCTCTCTCAAAGTGGGCCTCCCGAGGTTTCTCACCTTTTCCCACTGGGTTTTTGAGTTGTTCTTTGCCGATGCAGGAGGTTCTAAGGCGGGGATGGTCTGGGACATTTGGAGACATTTATGGACATTTACTAACCTTTATGGACATTGGTCGTCCCGCTCCCTATGGACCGATGGCTCCCACGTGTTTGTGATTATTCCATTTCCTGACTCTCTGATCCGTTGTTGGCGAATTGACAACTTTGTTTAGTCCTCAGAGACGACTGCTGTTGTGATTTAAAGTTATTCAAAAATGAATTGAATTGAATTTACTCACAAAATGTCACTTATACAAGACTTTAATGTTGAGGGAACCAACATTATAACCAACGTATTTTTAAACCCTGCTTTAAAGCTAAAATATGCAATTTTTCTGGAGGTGGAAAAATGACATGCAATATTTTATGGAAATGTTTTACAATTTTTCATTATTTTTATACTGGAAAGTTTGTCTGATTCTATGACAGTGGAGCTGAAAAATATGTATTTGTAGAGCTCATTTTATCCATACAGAAAGCTACAAACACATTTCTATCATTAGGCCAGACCTTGTCCAAAGTGCGGCCCAGGGACCACATCCGGCCCAATCCAGACCCCAGACCCCAGACCTCCACACCCCAGACCCCAGACCCCTGTTGTTAATCTCATATGTGTCTGTCGCCTAAATTAAGTAAATCAGGAGTCAATACTCGATGAAGGCTTCTAGTATATGGGCTTCCATGGCTTGTCATACATTTATTCTGTTCTCCTTAATGAACTCCAAATGGTTTTAGTAATATTCAAAATAGTAACAAGAAAGAAAAAGCCCAGTACTTAAAATTAAAACAAAATATAAAATACATCTATTTACTAGGGCTGTCAAGCGAATAATTTTTTTTAATCGAGTTAATTACAGCTTAAAAATTAATTAATCGTAATTAATCGCATTTCAAACTATTGGCAAAATTATGCCATATTTTTCTGTAAATTGTTGTTTGAATGGAAAGATAAATGACAGCTTAGTGAACAACTGTATTTGTTTGTTATAACAATAAATCCATATAAAATGAAATTAACATTTTTCACATTCTGTCTTTCTGTTTAGACTCAGACCAAAACCATTGTTTGTTACAGATGAGGGACATTTCAAAATAGTCTGAAGCAGAATGTCCTTAAATCTGTTTGATTTGCTCACAACATTACTTTTTTTGGAACAACTAACATGAACTGGTAGTGGAAGGAAAATTAGGTACCTCAACTTTAATTTAGCGAGTGCGCTTCGGGAGAAGACACGGAGGAGACTGAGGCTCCGCAGTCCAGCTTCAGCGCTGTACATATTGTGTGCATCGGTTACGCAAAGACACGTACGCACACTAGAGAATAGTTCTGTAATAGTTCTGTGAGTGGTCTTGGATATGATCCCATTACGCAGCGCCGTTCGCCGTGATCACAGCCGCTGGAAGTGGGACCTGTCCAGAGCGCTGTGGCCGCAGCTCATCATGCAGAGTTCATACAGGAAAGTACAAGTGCCCCGCGGTCACGCGTGTATTCTTTCAAAACTTGAATTCCCAGAGGCTCTACCTGCTCTGTCCCCATCTTACACACGCATGTGTCCACGGCATTCTGAGTGTTATTATGGGACGCATGGGCATGCGTCAAATGCGTTAATTTTTTAAACGCGATTAATGAAAAAAATTAATTAACGTGCGTTAACGCGATAATTTTGACAGCCCTACTATTTACATAATACTGAAGTACTTAAGAAAAAAACAAAATGAACCATGTAAAGTTGGGTCTGGCCCTCCACAATTGTGCAATATCCTAAAGTGCCCCCCCCCCTAAGAATATAATTGCCCACCTCTGCATTAGGCGGATGGTTCCATTTACAAGGAGCATTAAAGGGGAGAAAGCTGCTTCTCTTTCTTTAGGCGGTAATGTCCCACTGACTCCATCCCCAACCTGGCACCCGAGAGGTTCTGTCCGTGCAGGTAGAGTTTTGCGACGGCGCCCCCTGCTGCTTGCACCTGTTGTAGATGAAGGGTCCACACGAACGCCATGAAATAAACATTTAACACATTTGTAAAAGTGAGTTATTCTGTGTTTCGACATCACCGCCGCGCCGCATGTGTTTCATATTTATCCAAGTGCAGCAGACGCAAAACTTTTCTTCCATCAAAGCTGTTTTTGTTGTTTTAATGCGAACCACGTGCGGCTTGAGAAATCCAATGTCATTTAGATGCATTTGATGAGGCTTCACTACTGTTACGGCGGAAACGAGAATCCACAGCCATCGGAACCACTGACACCACAATTCTATTCAATTTATTCTTGTGCAGCTCTAAATCACAACAGTAGTTAACTCGGAGGACTTTGCAAAACCGTCGATTTGACAACACAGATCAGAGAATCAAACAAAAACACAAGAAATGCAATGATAAAACGCATACAGTAGAGGTGGTTCATAAGGGGCAGAGACCAATGTCCATAAATTGTTGAATTTTTCAATACTGCTGTATCATCAAAGGAACAAAAAAAAAAAAATGCAGTTGGAGAAAATGAGAAATCTCTGGGAGGCCCACAGTGAGAGAGACAAGATCCAGGACTCAGGCTGTAGTACGAGGACCAATCACCGTTAATGCCGTCCAATACATTTATTTTAAACGGACGGGAATCTTCTCTGATCATGGTTTACCGTACATAACACACCCATTGCATTACTGTTTTTATGGAGAAATATTGCAAACAAATCAAAAATAATAAATCATTGGGCCCCCTTATCGTCGCCTTCATTTCCATTCCCTAGCGACGCCCCTGCTCCATCACCGATTCACCTTATTATTGCATTTCTCTTTCACGGGAGCTCTTGTTGTGGAAACACGGCCAGCTTTACCCATCAGCAGCCGTCGTGGCATGGGTCTGTTTTGACTGGCTCTCACGTCCAACCTTTTCCTTTTGTCTGACACACACACAGACACACACACACACACACACCGTCTCTCCGAACCGTGGGGGGAAACTGAAACCCAAAGCCGTGCACTGGACTATCGCTCCAACTCGCCTCCACACCTCGCCATTTAAGGTCCGGCTTGGGCCTTGGAGCTCGCTGTGTGGCTTCCCCTTTTAAAAACCCAACTTAATCGGTCTGGAATTCCGGTTTCTGGGGTCAGGGACACTGGCGGCGGATGCACAGATGTGACGCATCAGGAGCTGTCCGACACACACGAGATGGGAGAGAGCTCGCTGTTGCCAAAACGTTGGGGCAGAAATTAGCGATTGTTCGAGAATATTGTTCTACTGTACGAGATTAAGCCGGAGATGGAGAACGAAGATAAGGCGGAGGGAATAATGAAAGCCGCGGGAGGAGATTACAGAAGAGTTCTTGAGTTTGCTCTGCTTGGAGTCTGTTTATTGGTTCGGTTGACGGTCGACTGGACATTCTTTATGAGGTGATTTGGAAAAAGGAGGTGCACGGAAATCCAACGCAGTGATTAGAGTATGTTTTAAAGCTGAGGTACCTGACTTTCAAACTGTAATAACACCTCGTTCTGAAATGAAGGTTAAGATTAAGAAATCCTTTGTTTTTTCTCATTATGGGGAAATGTCAGTGTAGCATTAGCAGTTACGGAGCAGAGGGAATGAGGAGCACAGAACTCTAAAATAAAATAAAGTATACAGTCTCTAGCTTTAGCATAATAAAGAAGCTAGTATAGAATCTCTAGCTTTAGCATAATAAAAAAGCAAGAATGAATCAGTTTTGTAAAGTCAAATGTTGTGGACAGAGCACTCACTGCCGTTTGTTCATATTATTTCAAACCATGTTATTAAGAAAGAACCCTGTTAGTCATTATTTGCCTCTTTAAGTTGAGAGCTGAGAGAGGGTGGTTCTCCCTTTTTCACTTTTCGGTGTGAAAAAATCGGATCAAGAGAAGTGACAGAGGCCAAAAATGCGATTGAACCAACCTATTCTGAGAGCGAGAAATTGAGTGAGATTGATATGTTGTTGTGGTTTCGGAGTTACGTACCCCAGCTTTAAACATGTTGTAGAAATCTTCTCCATTGTGAGTTCACTGCATCACAAGTTTGAAAAGGAGCAGTTGGACAGATGGGGAGGGCGGATGTGTTTTTGATGAGGGAGAAAAAAAGGTCAAAAGCATCACATTTTGCATAATAATTTTCTTTTAATGATTTCATTTGTGTGTGTGGGATGTATTCTACCTGTAAATGTTGTAGTCTTTTCCACATAACTGTAACTGTCAGAATATCTCAGAGTTTTATGAAGAACCAAATGGATAAAAACATACAGTCATCTTTAATCTTTGGGCTTACGCTATGGTGTCTTGTGACGAGATTAGAAGAATTAGACTCTCCAAGGCCAAATAGGACCGCGTTTCCC